ACTGTTTACCGATACAGATAGCTTGGCCTATGAAATTCAGACCGAGGATTTTTACAAAAATGTTACCCCCCATGTTCAGGAAAAAATCGATACCTCGAACTATCCAGCTGACCATCCTTCAGGAATTCCATCCGGCGTCAACAAGAAGATAATTGGAATGTTTAAGGACGAATGTGGTGGTAAAAGTATGACTGGCTTCGTGGGACTTCGACCAAAATTATATGCGTACAAATTTTGAGCTCTAGTTTCAGATTTTTGAACATAGCGCCCTTCGATACCTTGCGCAAGAGATGCGCCTGTTTCTCCTCTAAAAGACCTATATAGTCATACTCCGTGACACCCCTCATTATTTTTCTGTAGAAGCCATGGACTAGGCCAACCCCCCTGTTTTTAACACTTTTTTTCAAATTTTGAGCTCTAGTTTCAGATTTTTGAACATAGCGCCCTTCGAAACCTTGCGCAAGAGATGCGCCTGTTTCTCTTCTACAAGACCTATATTGTCATACCCCGTGACATTCCTCATTATTTTTCTTTAGAAGCCATTGAATAGGCCAACCCCCCTGTTTTTAACATTTTTTTTCAAACTTTGAGCTCTAGTTTCAGATTTTTGAACATAGCGCCCTTCGATACCTTGCGCAAAAGATGCGCCTGTTTCTCTTCTACAAGACCTATATAGTCATACCCCGTGACACCCCTCATTATTTTTTCTCTAGAAACCATGGAATAGGCCAACCCCCTTGTTTTTAACACTTTTTTTTCAAATTTTGAGCTCTAGTTTCAGATTTTTGAACATAGCGCCCTTCGATACCTTGCGCAAGAGATGCGCCTGTTTCTCCTCTACAAGACCTATATAGTCATACCCCGTGACACCCCTCATTATTTTTTCTCTAGAAACCATGGAATAGGCCAACCCCCTTGTTTTTAACACTTTTTTTTCAAATTTTGAGCTCTAGTTTCAGATTTTTGAAAATAGCGCCCTTCGATACCTTGCGCAAGAGATGCGCCTGTTTCTCCTCTACAAGACCTATATAGTCATACTCCGTGACACCCCTCATTATTTTTCTCTAGAAGCCATGGAATAGGCCATTCCCACTGTTTTTAACAATTTTTTTTCAAATTTTGAGCTCTCGTTTCAGATTTTTGAACATAGCGCCCTTCGATACCTTGCGCAAAAGATGCGCCTCTTTCTCCTCTACAAGACCTATATAGTCATACCCAGTGACACCCGTCATTATTTTTCTGTGGAAGCCATGGAATAGGCCAACCCCCTATTTTTAACAATTTATTTTTTCAAATTTTGAGCTCTAGTTTCAGATTTTTTAACATAGCGCCCTTCAAAACCTTGCGCAAGAGATGCGCCTGTTTCTCTTCTACAAGACCTATATTGTCATACCCCGTGACACCCCTCATTATTTTTCTGTGAAAGCCATGGAATAGGCCAACCCCCGTGTTTTTAACTATTTTTTTTCAAATTTTGAGCTCTAGTTTCAGATTTTTGAACATAGCGCCCTTTAATACCTTGCGCAAAAGATGCGCCTGTTTCTCCTCTACAAGACCTATATAGTCATACCCCGTGACACCCCTCATTATTTTACTCTAGAAGCCATGGAATAGGCCAACCCCCCTGTTTTTAACACTTTTTTCAAATTTTGAGCTCTAGTTTCAGATTTTTGAACATAGCGCCCTTCGATACCTTGCGCAAAAGATGCGCCTGTTTCTCCTCTACAAGACCTATATTGTCATACCCCGTGACACCCCTCATTATTTTTCTGTAGAAGCCATTGAATAGGCCAACCCCCCTGTTTTTAACATTTTTTTTTCAAATTTTGAGCTCTAGTTTCAGATTTTTGAACATAGCGCCCTTCGATACATTGCGCAAAAGATGCGCCTGTTTCTCTTCTACAAGACCTATATAGTCATACCCCGTGACACCCCTCATTATTTTTCCCTAGAAGCCATTGAATAGGCCAACCCACTGTTTTGAACAATTTTTTTTTTCGAATTTTGAGCTCTAGTTTCAGATTTTTGAATATAGCGTCCTTCAATACCTTGCGCAAAAGATGCGCCTATTTCTCCTCTACAAGACCTATATAGTCATACCCCGTGACATCCCTCCTTATTTTTCTGTAGAAGCCATGGAATAGGCCAACCCCCTGTTTTTCATATTTTTTTTTTCAAATTTTGAGCTCTAGTTTCAGATTTTTGAACATAGCGCCCTTCGATACCTTGCGCAAAAGATGCGCCTGTTTCTTCTCTACAAGACCTATATAGTCATACCCCGTGACACCCCTCATTATTTTTCTCTAGAAACCATGGAATAGGCCAACCCCCGTGTTTTTAACTATTTTTTTTCAAATTTTGAGCTCTAGTTTCAGATTTTTGAACATAGCGCCCTTCGATACCTTGCGCAAAAGATGCGCCAGTTTCTCCTCTACAAGACTTATATAGTCATACCCTGTGACACCCCTCATTATTTTTCTCTAGAAGCCATTGAATAGGCCATTTCCCCTGTTTTTAACAATTTTTTTTCAAATTTTGAGCTCTAGTTTCAGATTTTTGAACATAGCGCCCTTCGATACCTTGCCTAAAAGATGCGCCTGTTTCTCCTCTACAAGACCTATATAGTCATACCCCGTGACACCCCTCATTATTTTTCTCTAGAAACCATGGAATAGGCCAACCTCCGTGTTTTTAACTATTTTTTTTCAAATTTTGAGCTCTAGTTTCAGATTTTTGAACATAGCGCCCTTTGATACCTTGCGCAAAAGATGCGCCTGTTTCTCCTCTACAAGACCTATATAGTCATACCCCGTGACACCCCTCATTATTTTTCTCTAGAAGCCATGGAAAAGGCCAACCCCCCTGTTTTTAACACTTTTTTCAAATTTTGAGCTCTAGTTTCAGATTTTTGAACATAGCGCCCTTTGATACCTTGCGCAAAAGATGCGCCTGTTTCTCTCCTACAAGACCTATATAGTCATACCCCGTGACACCCCTCATTATTTTTCTCTAGAAGCCATGGAATAGGCCAACCCCCCTGTTTTTAACACTTTTTTCAAATTTTGAGCTCTAGTTTCAGATTTTTGAACATAGCGCCCTTCGATACCTTGCGCAAAAGATGCGCCTGTTTCTCCTCTACAAGACCTATATAGTCATACCCCGTGACACCCCTCATTAATTTTTCTCTAGAAACCATGGAATAGGCCAACCCCCTTGTTTTTAACACTTTTTTTTCAAATTTTGAGCTCTAGTTTCAGATTTTTGAACATAGCGCCCTTCGATACCTTGCGCAAGAGATGCGCCTGTTTCTCCTCTACAAGACCTATATAGTCATACCCAGTGACACCCCTCATTGCTTTTCTGTGGAAGCCATGGAATAGGCCAACCCCTGTTTTTAACAATTTAATTTTTCAAATTTTGAGCTCTAGTTTCAGATTTTTTAACATAGCGCCCTTCAAAACCTTGCGCAAGAGATGCGCCTGTTTCTCTTCTACAAGACCTATATTGTCATACCCCGTGACACCCCTCATTATTTTTCTGTGAAAGCCATGGAATAGGCCAACCCCCCCCTGTTTTTAACATTTTTTTTTCAAATTTTGAGCTCTAGTTTCAGATTTTTGAACATAGCGCCCTTCGATACATTGCGTAAAAGATGCGCCTGTTTCTCTTCTACAAGACCTATATAGTCATACCCCGTGACATCCCTCCTTATTTTTCTGTAGAAGCCATTGAATAGGCCAACCCACTGTTTTGAACAATTTTTTTTTTCGAATTTTGAGCTCTAGTTTCAGATTTTTGAATATAGCGCCCTTCAATACCTTGCGCAAAAGATGCGCCTATTTCTCCTCTACAAGACCTATATAGTCATACCCCGTGACATCCCTCCTTATTTTTCTGTAGAAGCCATGGAATAGGCCAACCCCCTGTTTTTCATATTTTTTTTTTCTCAAATTTTGAGCTCTAGTTTCAGATTTTTGAACATAGCGCCCTTCGATACATTGCGCAAAAGATGCGCCTGTTTCTCTTCTACAAGACCTATATAGTCATACCCCGTGACACCTCTCATTATTTTTCCCTAGAAGCCATTGAATAGGCCAACCCACTGTTTTGAACAATTTTTTTTTTCAAATTTTGAGCTTTAGTTTCAGATTTTTGAATATAGCGCCCTTCAATACCTTGCGCAAAAGATGCGCCTATTTCTCCTCTACAAGACCTATATAGTCATACCCCGTGACATCCCTCCTTATTTTTCTGTAGAAGCCATGGAATAGGCCAACCCCCTGTTTTTCATATTTTTTTTTCTCAAATTTTGAGCTCTAGTTTCAGATTTTTGAACATAGCGCCCTTCGATACCTTGCGCAAAAGATGCGCATGTTTCTCCTCTACAAGACCTATATAGTCATACCCCTTGACACCCATCATTATTTTTCTGTGGAAGCCATGGAATAGGCCAACCCCCCTGTTTTTAACAATTTTTTTTTTTCGAATTTTGAGCTCTAGTTTCAGATTTTTTAACATAGCGCCCTTCAATACCTTGCGCAAAAGATGCGCCTGTTTCACCTCTACAAGACCTATATAGTCATACTCCGTGACACCCCTCATTATTTTTCTCTAGAAACCATGGAATAGGCCAACCCCCCTGTTTTTAACAATTTTTTTTCAAATTTTGAGCTCTAGTTTCAGATTTTTGAACATAGCGCCCTTCGATACCTTGCGCAAAAGATGCGCCAGTTTCTCCTCTACAAGACTTATATAGTCATACCCTGTGACACCCCTCATTATTTTTCTCTAGAAGCCATTGAATAGGCCATTTCCCCTGTTTTTAACAATTTTTTTTCAAATTTTGAGCTCTAGTTTCAGATTTTTGAACATAGCGCCCTTCGATAACTTGCCTAAAAGATGCGCCTGTTTCTCCTCTACAAGACCTATATAGTCATACCCCGTGACACCCCTCATTATTTTTCTCTAGAAACCATGGAATAGACCAACCCCCGTGTTTTTAACTATTTTTTTTCAAATTTTGAGCTCTAGTTTCAGATTTTTTAACATAGCGCCCTTTGATACCTTGCGCAAAACATGCGCCTGTTTCTCCTCTACAAGACCTATATAGTCATACCCCGTGACAGCCCTCATTATTTTTCTCTAGAAGCCATGGAATAGGCCAACCCCCCTGTTTTTAACACTTTTTTCAAATTTTGAGCTCTAGTTTCAGATTTTTGAACATAGCGCCCTTCGATACCTTGCACAAAAGATGCGCCTGTTTCTCCTCTACAAGACCTATATAGTCATACCCCGTGACACCCCTCATTATTTTTCTTTATAAGCCATGGAATAGGCCAACCCCCCTGTTTTTAACAATTTTTTTCAAATTTTGAGCTCTAGTTTCAGATTTTTGAACATAGCGCCTTTCGAAACCTTGCGCAAGAGATGCGCCTGTTTCTCTTCTACAAGACCTATATTGTCATACCCCGTGACACCCCTCATTATTTTTCTGTAGAAGCCATTGAATAGGCCAACCCCCCTGTTTTTAACACTTTTTTCAAATTTTAAGCTCTAGTTTCAGATTTTTGAACATAGCGCCCTTCGATACCTTGCGCAAAAGATGCGCCTGTTTCTCCTCTACAAGACCTATATAGACATACCCCGTGACATCCCTCATTATTTTTCTCTAGAAACCATGGAATAGGCCAACCCCCCTGTTTTTAACATTGTTTTTCAAATTTTGAGCTCTAGTTTCAGATTTTTGAACATAGCGCCCTTCGATACCTTGCGCAAGAGATGCGCCTGTTTCTCTTCTACGAACCTATATTGTCATACCCCGTGACATCCCTCATTATTTTTCTTTAGAAGCCATTGAATAGGCCAACCCCCCTGTTTTAAACATTTTTTTTCAAATTTTGAGCTCTAGTTTCAGATTTTTGAACATAGCACCCTTCGATACCTTGCGCAAAAGATGCGCCTGTTTCTCTTCTACAAGACCTATATAGTCATACCCCGTGACACCCCTCATTATTTTCCCCTAGAAGCCATTGAATAGGCAAACCCCCTGTTTTTAACAATTTTTTTTTTCAAATTTTGAGCTCTAGTTTCAGATTTTTGAACATAGCGCCCTTCAATACCTTGCGCAAAAGATGTGCCTGTTTCTCCTCTACAAGACCTATATAGTCATACCCCGTGACACCCCTCATTATTTTTTCTCTAGAAACCATGGAATAGGCCAACCCCCCTGTTTTTAACAATTTTTTTTTTCAAATTTTGAGCTCTAGTTTCAGATTTTTGAACATAGCGCCCTTCGTTACTTTGCGCAAAAGATGCGCTTGTTTCTCTTCTACAAGACCTATATAGTCATACCCCGTGACACCCCTCATTATTTTTCTCTAGAAGCCATGGAATAGGCCATTCCCCCTGTTTTTAACAAATTTTTTTCAAATTTTGAGCTCTAGTTTCAGATTTTTGAACATAGCGCCCTTCGATACCTTGCGCAAAAGATGCGCCTGTTTCTCCTCTACAAGACCTATATAGTCATACCCCGTGACACCCCTCATTATTTTTTCTCTAGAAACCATGGAATAGGCCAACCCCCCTGTTTTTAACAATTTTTTTTTCAAATTTTGAGCTCTAGTTTCAGATTTTTGAACATAGCGCCCTTCGTTACTTTGCGCAAAAGATGCGCTTGTTTCTCTTCTACAAGACCTATATAGTCATACCCCGTGACACCCCTCATTATTTTTCTCTAGAAGCCATGGAATAGGCCATTCCCCCTGTTTTTTACAAATTTTTTTCAAATTTTGAGCTCTAGTTTCAGATTTTTGAACATAGCGCCCTTCGATACCTTGCGCAAAAGATGCGCCTGTTTCTCCTCTACAAGACCTATATAGTCATACCCCGTGACACCCCTCATTATTTTTCTGTGGAAGCCATGGAATAGGCCAACCCCCTGTTTTTAACAATTTATTTTTCAAATTTTGAGCTCTAGTTTCAGATTTTTGAACATAGCACCCTTCGATACCTTGCGCAAAAGATGCGCCTGTTTCTGTTCTACAAGGCCTATATAGTCAAACCCCGTGACACCCCTCATTATTTTTCTCTAGAAGCCATGGAATAGGCCAACCCACCTGTTTTTAACAATTTGTTTCAAATTTTGAGCTCTAGTTTCAGATTTTTGAACATAGCGCCCTTCAAAACCTTGCGCAAGAGATGCGCCTGTTTCTCTTCAACAGGACCTATATTGTCAAACCCCGTGACACCCCTCATTATTTTTCTGTAGAAGCCATGGAATAGGCCAACCCCCCTGTTTTTAACATTTTTTTTTCAAATTTTGAGCTTTAGTTTCAGATTTTTGAACATAGCGCCCTTCGATACCTTGCGCAAAAGATGCGCCTGTTTCTCTTCTACAAGACCTATATAGTCATACCCCGTGACACCCCTCATTATTTTTCCCTAGAAGCCATTGAATAGGCCAACCCCCTGTTTTTAACAATTTTTTTTTTCAAATTTTGAGCTCTAGTTTCAGATTTTTGAACATAGCGCCCTTCAATACCTTGCGCAAAAGATGCGCCTGTTTCACCTCTACAAGACCTATATAGTCATACCCCGTGACACCCCTCATTATTTTTCTCTAGAAACCATGGAATAGGCCAACCCCCCTGTTTTTAACAATTTTTTTTCAAATTTTGAGCTCTAGTTTCAGATTTTTGAACATAGCGCCCTTCGATACCTTGCGCAAAAGATGCGCCAGTTTCTCCTCTACAAGACCTATATAGTCATACCCTGTGACACCCCTCATTATTTTTCTCTAGAAGCCATTGAATAGGCCATTTCCCCTGTTTTTAACAATTTTTTTTCAAATTTTGAGCTCTAGTTTCAGATTTTTGAACATAGCGCCCTTCGATACCTTGCCTAAAAGATGCGCCTGTTTCTCCTCTACAAGACCTATATAGTCATACCCCGTGACACCCCTCATTATTTTTCTCTAGAAACCATGAAATAGGCCAACCCCCGTGTTTTTAACTATTTTTTTTCAAATTTTGAGCTCTAGTTTCAGATTTTTGAACATAGCGCCCTTCGATACCTTGCGCAAAAGATGCGCCTGTTTCTCCTCTACAAGACCTATATAGACATACCCCGTGACATCCCTCATTATTTTTCTCTAGAAACCATTGAATAGGCTAACCCACCTGTTTTTAACAATTTTTTTCAAATTTTGAGCTCTAGTTTCAGATTTTTGAACATAGCGCCCTTCGATACCTTGCGCAAGAGATGCGCCTGTTTCTCCTCTACAAGACCTATATAGTCATACCCCGTGACACCCCTCATTATTTTTCTCTATAAGCCATGGAATAGGCCAACCCCCCTGTTTTTAACAATTTTTTTCAAATTTTGAGCTCTAGTTTCAGATTTTTGAACATAGCGCCTTTCGAAACCTTGCGCAAAAGATGCGCCTGTTTCTCTTCTACAAGACCTATATTGTCATACCCCGTGACACCCCTCATTATTTTTCTGTAGAAGCCATGGAATAGGCCAACCCCCTGTTTTTAACATTTTTTTTCAAATTTGAGCTCTAGTTTCAGATTTTTGAACATAGCGCCATTCGATACCTTGCGCAAAATATACGCCTGTTTCTCTCCTACAAGACCTATATAGTCATACCCAGTGACACCCCTCATTATTTTTCCCTAGAAGCATTGAATAGGCCAACCCCCTGTTTTTAACAATTTTATTTTTCAAATTTTGAGCTCTAGTTTCAGATTTTTGAACATAGCGCCCTTCGATACCTTGCGCAAAAGATGCGCCTGTTTCTCCTCTACAAGACTTATATAGTCATACCCCGTGACACTCCTCATTATTATTCTCTAGAAGCCATGGACTAGGCCAACCCCCCTGTTTTTAACACTTTTTTTCAAATTTTGAGCTCTAGTTTCAGATTTTTGAACATAGCGCCCTTCGAAACCTTGCGCAAGAGATGCGCCTGTTTCTCTTCTACAAGACCTATATTGTCATACCCCGTGACATCCCTCATTATTTTTCTTTAGAAGCCATTGAATAGGCCAACCCCCCCCTGTTTTTAACATTTTTTTTCAAATTTTGAGCTCTAGTTTCAGATTTTTGAACATAGCGCCCTTCGATACCTTGCGCAAAAGATGCGCCTGTTTCTTTTCTACAAGACCTATATAGTCATACCCCGTGACACCCCTCATTATTTTTCCCTAGAAGCCATTGAATAGGCCAACCCCCTGTTTTTAACAATTTTTTTTTTCAAATTTTGAGCTCTAGTTTCAGATTTTTGAACATAGCGCCCTTCAATACCTTGCGCAAAAGATGCGCCTGTTTCTCTTCTACAAGACCTATATAATCATACCCCGTGACACCCCTCATTATTTTTTCTCTATAAGCCATGGAATAGGCCATTTCCCCTGTTTTTAACAAATATTTTTCAAATTTTGAGCTCTAGTTTCAGATTTTTGAACATAGCGGCCTTCGATACCTTGCGCAAAAGATGCGCCTGTTTCTCCTCTATAAGACCTATATAGTCATACCCCGTGACACCCCTCATTATTTTTCTCAAGAAGCCATGGAATAGGCCAACCCCCATTTCTGCAAATGTGTATCTTAGTTCAATTAAACAATGACATCAAAGGTGCTGTATTTTACAGGGAAGGACTACTTTTACATACGTACTAAATGGAAGTGGGTGCATTGGTGGTTTTACACCTACAAATAATCCGTTGACAGATGCAGATTTACTGTGGTACTGAATATTAGACTAAAAAGAGATGTGACTTGTTTTATCAATGGATGGGATAAATACCATTTCATGATAGAGTTGAAATTGCAATATTTGGACGGAATGTCTGCCTGTTTAAATATTTTTCATTTAACGGCCGTTGCTGTCTTATTCATTTTTTCGGTTTTTAGATATATCGCCTTATTGTTCGCTGCCTTATTGTTCGCTAGTTATTGTTCGCTAGCTTCAGCCTGGTCAAGTTTAAGACGGCCCCTAGCACCGGCTTGAGCAAATTCTTTGCAAAAATAATTTGGATAGACTTTGTAAGATGTAACACCATCTAATCGGGCCCGGTCAAAAAAGAACATACTGGAAAGCAGTACATATTTAAAACAAAATAGTTCCTACGCATAAGGGTAAATTGCAAAATTTGATATGATAAATAATCAACATGACTGTTTAAAGTATGTATTTAGTAATGTTTTCTTTATTTGTCTCTGTATAATTCACGCGGGCTCTGCGGGCCTTTTAAATTAAGAATCAAATATATCTAAGACTTCATATTTGTTTTTTTGTGAATAACAAAAAAAACTACAATTCCTGTTTCTTTACTAATTTTTATGCTAACACGTTCACTAATCAAAACGGAAAAATTGAATCAAAATGTACATTTATTTCAATCTATACTGTTAGCCAAGAAAATTGCTATACTGAAGTCTAACACACTATTAGTGGTAATGATTCACATACCTAATTACCTTAGAAGGTTTGTTCCCACCTTTTAAATGTACTTCATTCAGTATAGGAAACTATGTAAACTATATTGCAATAACTTACCTTCACACATAAATGGTCTTACAGGTACCCTTCCGTGTCCCCTTCCAGGTCCCTTCCAATTACCTCTTCCCGGTCCCTTTTTTGGTCCGCCTCGTCGACTTTCAACTGTCACCAATACAATGGCTAGTAACACAAACACAAATACCTTCATTTTCGTCAATTATTCTTTGGGTTATTTCAAATCTAAAAATCAAAAAGGCCGGTTTTAATTTGTTTATATATACATTGCTTTGTATTTCAGTAAAGAAATATAGGGTAGCGAAAAGAAAAATACAAATAAAAGACAAAAAATGGTGCACAACATCCTGACAAGCCTTTTACAAACACATAGAAAGCAGCGATCGTTTCACAGTTTTTCTCCATCTAAAATTCATAATGAGGTATTCATCGCAAAATATACACAACCATCACACCTCACAACACGTTGAACATGGTCAATGATGGTCAACCTCGGCTCTCGCCAAAATGTTAGTTCAATGATATCTTGACCGGATAAATTCATTATTATGAATAGTGGAAAATACTTAGGATGGACTGAAAAAACAATATCGACAAATACACAGTTAAAACTTTTGACAATTGTAAGACCATGCTAATACAGTAGTTGATAAATTTTTTTTATGAAATAACAATCTGAACTTCTGCATTTAGTTCATTAATAACTGGAAATTTTTTTCTTCTAAGAAAAAAATGTTGATATAATAATGGATTAATAATGTTTAAAACAATAATATGATACAGCCCACGCCTGAAGTTTATTTTTAAGGATAATGTTGTCTCATTAGAACTGGACTTACCTCTCAGTAACTTCTTCTCGAATTGCAGTAACACTTTCCGGTTGTTTATATAAGATATTTTATATAGATCTTTATTAACACCTATGGCTAAGCTGTATATGATTTATTTCTTGTTTGTCATTATTTAAATAAAAATATCAAAATAATATATGCATATCAAACAAAAGTAACTAGTAGACCTTTGGTCATAAATCTTTTATCGATGGAATATCTTAATTATGTCCTGAGGTGGTCATGGGAATGCGTACTTCTGAACTTTTGTATAATTTGTTTATCGGTTTAAAGTTAAAGGTCGAATTAGTAATCCAAGAATTTAATTGTCGAAAGATATCCAACGAGTGAAGGAATAACACATTCAAATAACGTACGTACATCTACCACTAATGTGCGGACACGAGTTGAATATGTTTGACCTTGGAATTCCTAGATTGTTACTCACTTTGTGTTGATGCAACTTCTTGATTATCATAATATAAATTATGCAAATCAAACAAAAGTTATAAGACCTTTGGTCATATATTTTTTATCGACGCATTATCTTAACTGCATGTGTCCTGCGGTGGTCATGGGAATGCGTAGTACTTTTTCTATTTTTATATAATTTGTTTACCACTTTTTATTTAGTTTTTACGTTTTTTCGAGAGATTTTGCTTCTATTCAGTTAGTCATATGCATGAGCTCAATTTTGTTAGTTTTAGACCGATCTTGTTTTATTCACTAACCTTCTGGTGTATCTTTTCTTTGCTTTTAAATATATATACTCTAGTAAATTAGTTCAATTAGCGCGAGACCAATTAAATACAAACAGAATAATAAACGGACATTTTGCTAAAAACAATATGTAAAAAAAAGGTAGAAAAAAGGAATTGATATAACATACAAATATGGGTGTTACACGTACAATGTGTCTCCCTGCTATTCAAACATAGCAGAAAAATCATCCTTCTATTCCTACAAACAATGAACAGTAACTATTGTTATCTGTTATCTAACAGGATGTGATCTGTTATCTAACAGGATGTGATCTGTTATCTAACTTTATGTGATCTGTTATCTAACAGGATGTGCTGGTAATTGTATGATTATGTTGTTATCTTAAATCTTAATTAATATACTGGTAATTACAGGTATACAAGTGGGCGCATTGCTTTTGGGACAATTCTTTTAATTCAATTCAATTCAGTATTTCATATGCGCCACAAGGTTATATTTCATTTGCGCCAAAAAATAAATACTGTTTTTGCGCCAATTTACAGTTAACATGTAACGAAAAAGTTTTTAAGTAGTATTACATTGTTTCCTGAATACGAGACTTGTTTAAGAAATTACCCTCCCCCCTGGAAAATTAATTGAGTTCATATCAATTTCTCATACAAAACTGAGAGTAACTTAGGCATCATATTGTATAGTGTTCATTTTCGAGATGACAGGATGGATTTTTATTCAGCCGGAGACAAAGAAAGAAAATACGTCTTATATTTGAAACATTAAATAAATACATCCAAGAGTGTAAAGCAACAGAGAGTCGAATCTCAGCAATTAAGAATCAGAGTTGAATCAGAGTTCAAAAAGCAACTGTGGCATTCCTGAAAAAAAAACCCATCAAAGTTAGTCCTGCTTTACTGTCAAAGAGAGCTGATGTATAATGTAGTGATTTAGAATGAATATGTTTAATAAGGAAAACTAAAACTGTGTTTAAAAATTATTATTAAAAGTTTATTTTTTACATATATTTATCATCTATACCTGTATTATTGGCGCAAATGAAATGCTAAATTTTTATGGTGCAAATGACATATGGTGTGTGGCGCTAATGAAAGATTTATTTGGCGCAAATAAAATGCCAATTGCCGCAAAAGCATAAAGGTGTCTGATAGAATATTTGACAATTGATGTTTTTCTTTAAAAAGACTAGAATATTAAATATAAAAAAACAGTAACATAATAAACGAATGAATGGATGGATGAACTAATCGTTATTGCGATAGCATAAGCATGCTAGGGGGAAAACATATATTAAATAATATAAAAGATGGACAAACAGCAGAGAACAATAGAAAAATACTATGACAAATGTGCAGTAATGAAATTATATGAGATCTAATATTCCATGAAGTTTTTATATAATTACATAATTTTTATAGTGAGAGACTTACTAAACGCTTGAAGTACATACAAAAGTTTATAATTATTAGGCCAATTAATCTAGACATATAATACATACAATTGTATTGTATGTCTCGTATAAGGCCATGAACATTAATACGGGAAAAATTGTGTTCGAACAGAGCTATAAGCTGGACATCCTAGAACAAAATGATATTCATCTTCAATAACGCACACTTTACAGCATCTACATAGACGATTTTCTCTCGGAATATTATGGTAAATTTAACTTTCATGTTCTACTACGAAACTCTTTTAAAAGACAAACATTACTGTTAGAATTAAAATATTTTTCAATACAATCTAATATAAAACAAAGTTTATTACATTGTTGAAGAGTTGATGACCAGTTCTGCAAGTATTGATCTTGTATGCGATATTTATAGCAAATCTACAGATTGTGCCAGATAACCCTGGATACATAATTTAACTCGAGATCATATAAAACATCACGTATTTTGTAAGCCCAGTTTACATATAACCATAACGAAGAAATGCAATGTTCAAATTGCATTTACCAACATATATTTGGAAGTAAAATATCAGATGAAAATTATATTAAATTATCAAAATAAGAATAATGAATTATATGATGAAATAGGAAGTGTGAAATTCTATTGACTGACGATCTTCAGTAATATAACGTATTCCTTTTTTTAATGGACCCAAGATATATATTCCGATAAATGAGACCAAAAGTCTCAAATTAGGCCAAGGCAAGTTTAAGAAACACATCAGAATTTCAAATCTCAAAGTCTATAAACGAAGAGCCGACTTAGGTAGACTTAATAGGGCTTTAATCATGACTCAGTTTGATGGGTTTTTGTCTACAAAAAGCGTAGAGTGCAAATAAAAGTTTTCGCCAACTAGTCCGTAGAAAAACTAGTACAATTACTGCCACCTGATACTGTCGGAAGATGTTTGTTTCAAGCACTCGAAGAGTTTACAACACCGACATAAACCTTCTAACATCAGGATTAACAGATTATATACTTGGTTGAAGGTAATCACAGTCTTTTGCACGAGTATTCCACAAATAATCCGAGAACAATCAATCATCTGGAGAGGATGGCACACAAGACTAACATCTACAGTCTGGTAAAGCTACTTAAAATTGAGGGGCAATTTATGCATGTCAATTACTCAAAAATGCAACAGATGACAAATTGTACCAAATAGAAGACCATATCGACAAATTGATCACAGACTCGTAACCACATGTAAATAAACTCCTCATAGATACCAGGATTGACATTTTGTACGCCAAACGCGCGTTTCGTCTACAAAAGACTCATCAGTGACGCTCGAATAAAAAAAAGTTAAACAGGCCAAATAAAGTACGAAGTTGAAAAGTATTGAGGACCCAAAATTTCTAAAAGTTTTACCAAATACAGCTAAGGTAATCTACTCCTAAGGTAGAAAATGTAGAATGGTGAAATTGTGTCAATACAGTACGCAGATTCACATAGACCGATCTGTATCAAAGTCTGATATTTTAATGCCATAATATTCATTGTTGTGCAGTAGCTTTCATATTGTATACGTCGTTTTCTCATGTTGTTTTGATTTCTCTCAAGAAAAACATACATATTATAGGTTTTCCTTCAAATTATATTAGGATAAAGACAAGGGGTAAATGTCATTATCAATAAAATATCTAATATATCTAAAATATCTTACTTCTATTAAATTTCGCTTGATAAATTAAGAAATTACCAATAAACTAAGGCTCCAACTCCCTCAGCCAGATTTAACCTTCGATGAATGTTGCTAAATACAAAAAATGTATCTTAATAGAAATAAGAAGATGTGGTATGAGTGCCAATGAGACAACACTCCATCCAAGTCACAATGTGTAAAAAGTTAACAATTATATGTCAAAGTACGGCCTTCAACACGGAGCCTTGGCTCACACCGAACAGCAAGCTATAAAGGACCCCAAAATGACTAGTGTAAAGCAATTCAAACAGGAAAACCAACGGTCTAATCTATATAAAAAAACAAGAAACACTTATGAACCACATCAACAAACGACAACCACTGAACAACAGGTTCCTGACTTAAGTACATTTGGTGATATAGCTCATAGCGTTTCTACGTAGATATACAGCAATGGCTTTGGTGATATAGCCCATAGCGTTTCTACGTAGATATACATAAATGGCTTGGTGATATAGCTCATAGCGTTTCTACATATATACATCAATGGCTTTGGTGATATAGCTCATAGCGATTCTACGTAGATATACATCAATGGCTTTGGTGATATAGCATTTCTACGTAGATATACATCAATGGCTTTGGTGATATAGCCCATAGCGTTTCAACGTAGATATACATCAATGGCTTTGGTGATATAGCTCATAGCGTTTCTACGTAGATATACATCAATGGCTTTGGTGATATAGCCCATAGCGTTTCAACGTAGATATACATGGCTTTGGTGATATAGCTCATAGCGTTTCTACGTAGATATACATCAATGGCTTTGGTGATATAGCCCATAGCGTTTCTACGTAGATATACATCAATGGCTTTGGTGATATAGCGTTTCTACGTAGATATACATCAATGGCTATGGTGATATAGCCCATAGCGTTTCTACGTAGATATACATCAATGGCTTTGGTGATATAGCGTTTCTACGTAGATATACATCAATAGATTTCAAATGTTTTGGGTTTGAGTGTTCGTTATGAAGATCAATCAAAAAGGCGCTTTGGTTGCACGAGATTGATTAAGCGCTATTTTCATTTTTCATTTCAATCAAAATACACTTAAAATGAAAGCTACATGGATTTTATTAATATTTACCTGCTGTTTGTAAGTTTGAATGTTTTACATGTCGTTCCACAATAATTTCGGTTGAATCCTACTTTGTTCACATTACGTAATTACAAAATTAATCAATAAGTTAAATAGGAAAAAAGACAAAGGGTTTATTGAGCCTTGTTCCAAGTCGTGATATAGCAATCGGTTATCTATGTATTCTATCGATATCGTGTCTTCAACCTGTGCCAACATTATAAATATATATTCAACGTATGCCAACGAACAAATTAAAAAAGATATTTAAAACATTTAAAATTTAAAAGGTATAATTCGATCAGTCTTTTCAACCACTTATGAATCACTTCTGAAAATTTGAAAAAAAATATGAAATTGAAGTATGAATGATTTCAAATTTTGTTGAACCAAATTTGAAATTTACTATCAGTATTGTCAAAGAGAGGCGAAAGATACCAAAAAGATATTCTTACTCATAATTCGAAAACAAACTGACAATGCCATGACAAAAAACGAAAAACGACGAAAAGACAAACACCAGTACACAAAACACATCATAGAAAGCTATAAGACTGAACAACACATGGATGTTCAATTGTGTGCATTGTAGTTACTGTTCAATGTTTTTCATCTAGATCACCCAATGATATCTTACGAATCAGTACCTTTCTTTCAGTAGCTGATGTTTGGTGCGTCTTTTTAAAAGTGGACGAGTTCCTCTTGCTGTGTATTGAAAAAAAAATGTGAAAACAAACATACCGAACTCCAAGGTAAATTCAAAAGGGGGGATTTCATCAAAACTAACAAAACCAAACGCCCCACTATATCATCTTACAGAACGACTGGATAATAACTGTCATATACTTGGTACAGGTTTGGAGGATGATGCATTCTGTAACTGCATGCCTAGGGCCTCTTAAATACTTCATTATATTCCAGGTATATAAAAAAATATAATTTTTAAATGCCATATAAACCATCCATTTAAATTAGAACCCTATACCTTTGTGTGTGGACTGAATATGAAGACCTAGGACTATCATGCATTGCACATGTGTATAATTCATTACGATGTCTGCTGATCGGTGACATAAGATTATTAGGATAAGGTAAATAAAGTATCTGTGCATGGAGGATCAAGTGCACATGAAAATTACGATACAGACACAAAATATGCATAGTGTTTCAACGTTTGTACGATCCCAGTGTAGGATGCAGAGAAAGGGATACCAGCTGAAGATGGAGTATGAACTCGTACTTAATCAATGCAATAGGAACGACAAGCGAATATTATTGTTTACTTGAATGTGTCCATCTTTCGTAAATGGAAAAACAATATATCCAATGCTCTTAAAAACATTCCTGTTTTCGTTTGCTCTCGAGAATTACAAAAGAGACATTCATGGTCGAAACGTGCATTTGGTGTACATAGTGAATAGTAAAATTAATATCGATAATTTTATTTCTATCAAATTGATAATATACTTCCATCTATTTGGTTACTTCTAAGCCAAGTTACGCATTTATTTATTTAGGTTTAAGGTATGATGCACTTTACCTATACTAGAGGGAACTATAAAACGTTTAATGAGTTTTGATTTTATCTTTAAGTTTCACACATGTGATGCTTTATTGCTTTTTTCGTGAAGCACTGAGGGCAAAAGACTTGTTTTTTCATTAACGTTGTTATTTTCTCACTCGTACATTAAAAGTTTGTCCTTGAAATCATTGACTGTTTTATTAGTGACGGATTGGAAGCGGATTTAACTGGATATAGCTGGGACAATCTATATATTGACAGTTAGTACATGTATACTATTCCCAGGTTATAGTAAAATATCGTAAAGAATTTTTCAACAGCCTTAATACCCTATGGAAAAAAATGTAAACAGTTTCGATAGAATTGTTTGTGAACAAGGGTATTACATTAAGTTGTAATGATTTATCCGTGTATGCCATTTATATTTCATTGAAATCGATGCATTATTGAAAAGAATTAATGTACGGTCGTAATAAAAATAAATGGTGATCACAGAAAATGTTAACAACCAGTATATATGTGTTCATGAAAGTCATTGTTAAATCATTACACGCGTCTTTTAATTTTTTAAAAACTATAATTGGTCACAATCGAGGAAAAGATGATGTGTCTGTGGCTATGAAAAATTAGAACATATCCATGGTCATCTGTGACACAGACAATCCACAATGGTCAGCCAAATCATCATGACGTCCTTAAAATATTAAAACAACACGTAATAAATTTCATGCGTCCGAAGCGCTTTTCTAGATTTACCTTCATCAGAAACGCTCAAAGTCGAATATTTGAAATCCAAGGATGTATAAGAACCGAAACAGTTGAAATGAAGTCGACAGTAGTTTACCGATGTTCCAATCTAGAAATAGATTAGGAACAGCCAAATAAGGGTAACAAACAAAACACTGCAAGAATCGTATGAACTCCAAAAGAAGCATGACCGGGAGCGTCGACAGGTTAGATTCTCCTGCTATGAATGTATCACCCGCCATGCAAATTCACACTCTGTCAACATGTCACAATCGAGAATCGGACACAATCGGCAAAATTAACATTCAACATCAACAACAATACTCTACGTTAAGATGGTCACACAGTCAGTTATATAACTAATCTTTCCTGAGTGCCTTATAGAAAGCCATCAACAAAAACATGTTAAATCCTGAGTCTCTTATGATAGAAAACCATCAACAAAAAATTATTGAAAATCAAAAATGCAAACAAGTATATGTAATACATTAGTATAAAAGTCAAGTATAATGATGATACTCAATACAACTTTATAAAATGTTGTGAAAAAATGAACATGATGAAAAAATTTTAATTATCATTTTAATGGGTTAATTTCAATAAATGATCTGTTAATTTGTTTTTGAAAAATAGCATTTGTAATATTTCTTAACGATGTAGTTCCAAAAGACATAAAACAATTCTTGAAATGGTATCTAATTTACAAAGATCTCAGACCGCGTAAACTTGTCGCTTGTTTGCTGAGACACCAACACATCGTATTTGGTCAACCAATTCGTGATGATGTTCATAACAATAATGTAGTGGCGATTTCAGTTGTTCTTCCTCATAACTCTGTTGGAGCAGTTTTTTGTATATGTAGCACACCCATATAAATGAAGTCCGTATAGTGTGAACATGCACGAGCTTAACGTACTAACTGAGATATGTAAACACCATATGATGGAGCAGAATATATGTTACAGCAGAGAAATGGGAATTTGACAATTGGAAAGTTGACATCATCAAATTTGTCATAGATTATAGTTTGAAGTCGTCATCTGTGTCAATGTCGATGAAAAGATCAAGATATGAAGCAGACCTTGTACTGGTGGTAGTATCCTTAATCACAAGTTCTCTGGGACATATGAGATATAAGCACTCATTGAAATGTGACATAAAATCATCAATTTATCTGAAAGTAAAATTTGATTACTTTACAAGATGCTTTTTCTGTAAATGTTTGAGAAGGTTTTGTATGCAAACAAATCGACCAGTGGTGGTGCACAATAAGTACCCATTAGAATACCGAATGTCTACTGAAATATTAATCCAACAAACTCAATAAATACGTTGCCGATCAAAAAGTCCTGCATTTCAATGATATTGCCTTCGGTGTACTTGTTGTAGGAACCATTGTGGTTTTTCACAAAGTAAGACTTTCATGGAGTAAAACTATGAACTTGTGTCTACGCTTCCCTTTTTTTTTTTTTTTTTGTTTAATGAGACGACGTAGTCGATATCTCAATTGAACATTGAACATTGGAAACAGTAGGATAAAGCGTAGAAAAAAACATCTGTTTGACACCGCTGGTTGATTATACCTCATCACAAATCATGACAGAGAACGCAAGCTCTAGAGCCCCCACTAACTGGGAGATATGTAATTCACACGGTGGCGATGTCGTAATGTAAACACATAGAAATGGAAAGTTCACAACTGAAAACTCAAAATCATTTACTCTATCGTAAAGTTTAGTACTTAGCCGACCCTCATTGTCAATTGTAAGATGTGATCAAAGTATGTTCTGTTCTGTTCTGGTATATTCCTCCGTTTTATCGGAGCACTTTACTTATCGAATGAGTATTAGAATTTTAAATACTTAACCGAAAAAGCGGATATTTTTATATTTACGATATGAAAAATATAATTTTAAAATAAAATTAGTTAGTTAAAGTGAATAAAATAAAAGTTTATAATGTCTTTGATGATATATTAAAAGATATTAATACAAAAAAAAAAAATAATAATATTATTCACACGTGACAAATTACGGCACTTTGATTCACCAATATGAATAAATAAAAAATTTTACAACCTAACGATTTCTAGTCAATAGGTGCCCTGCCAAGGCAAATGTTAAAATTATATAGCATTATCTTTTATGCTGATATTTATAGACTGAACCAGTTAGCTTGGCATCCCATGCAGACTGTTCAGACTATATTTAATATTACTGTTATATTTTCATGTCACTTGATATCACATAAAAGTTGTGTACGCTTCATGTGTAAATGGTAGCATAAATCTTGTGTCTTCCTTTCTATATCTAGCAACTTGTCTATTGGTTGATTACTCATTATGTCTAGTGCTGAGCAGTCTAATATAATTTTGAGTAATAGTTCATTATTAATAACATTTGTTGTACCACCCCTTTCTATTTCTCGTAGCATTTTCAATAAGTTATCCATATATCGCTGCCTAACATCAGATAGACTTAAGCAATGTAGTAGGAATTGTTCCAAGGTTTCTTCAGATTCATTGCATAGCTTGCAATTTGGTTGAATAGCATTTTTACTAAATTTTGCCCTAGTACTTTGGAGCATGTAGGTACCAGTTACTAGCTTACATTTGAATTCTGCCTTTTTTTATGTCATATTGGTTATTTCTAACACATTTCCAAACGTTATGTGGATTATTGACCGGATTTTTTTAAAGAGATAAATGTTTAGGTGTTGATTTTGTGTTACATTCCATTGTCCAAATTAAAGACCAGTATTCATTTATTGATGTTTTCAATTGTTTTTTCCACATATATTTTGATGGAGGATGTTCCATAATTTCTTCTGCTTTTGGCAATTGATATTTTTGCAAAATTTTATTTATACGACAAATAAAAGAGTTGTCAAAATTTGAACTAATTTCCAATTCCCATTCTAATATTTTACGTTCTATCGAGCTA